GATTCCTGCTGAGTTGTAAATTTCTTTTTAGAGTTCAAATTTTCTCTTCCATTTCTTTTTTAAAAAATTTTTATTGGTTTTCATATAATAATTCCTTTGCATTATGTTTCATTCATATACATTATGGGTTTTTATTTTATACTGATTTATTGACAAAGTTTGAATACATTGTTTTTCATACCAGATCTTTCTCCTTTCCTTCACCCCCCATCAAATTGTGCAACCCTATAATTAACACACTCCCCTCCCACACATCCTCACTCCTCTACTTCCACCTTCTCCCCCACTTGGATCCTCATACTCATTCTACAGTAATGGTTTTATACTAGTGCAACCTTCATCTGACAGAAATATAATGAGAAATTCAAAGATTGTATTCCTTATACAGAACCTCAAAGTAAAATAAGTCTCTTGGAATAAACAAGAACTTCATAACCTTGAATGCATTGTACTTATATTATGGCGAACAGACTCTTTTTTAAAAAATTGATATTTTAATGAAAGTTTATAGAGAACTTGGAATTACATTCATTCATTGTTGTACATTTTCTTCCCTGCTCCCTTTCTGCCTAGTTCGCTTTTCTCTAAGGGGGAAAAATTCTTTCATTGTAGAGTTGCTTTGTTTAACTTTCTGAATATGCCATCCCATTGTCTTCTAGCTTGCATGGTTTCTGCTGAGAAATCAGAATTTAATCTAATTATTTTCCCTTGATATGTCACTCTTTTTCTCACACTGCTTTTAATATTTTATCCTTATTTTTCAATTTGTAGAATTTGACTATGATATGCCTTGATGTTTTTCTTTTTGTGTCTAGTTTATTTGGTGTTCACTATGCTTCTTGAATGTGGATTTTTCGCTTCAAAATACCTGGGAAGTTTTCTTCTAGTATTTCTTCCACGATTTTCGCAGTGATTTCCCTGTCACTCCCATGTCCTGGAATTCCAGTCATACATATGTTGTTCAGTTTAATGTCATCTCACACGATTCTAATGTTGTCTTCATTTTCTTTATGTCTCATGCCTGATTTTTCTTCTAGTATATTTCCGTTGAGGTCCTTATCTTCCAGCTCACTGACTATCTGTTCAACCTCTTGTCTACTTTTTTGTCCTACCAGAAGACCAGACACTCCTGAAAATTTGGCCTTAATATTCTGGATTGCATTTTCATGCATTTCTGTTATTTCCAGTACTATGTTGCCTGTCTGTACCCTCTCTGTCTTGTGATGATTTTTTTTAAGTTTTTGTACCTCTTTATCAATTCTTTCATCTTTTACATTTTCTTCCATAGCTATTCAAGTTGCTCCTCATCAATATATTTCTTCTGAATTGTTGTCTTTGGGGGTATTTGCTCTCTTAATGGCTTCCATTGCTTCTTCCATCATTTGCATCTTCTATTCAAATAACTCCACATCATCATATTTCTTCTGGTTCTCTCTATCTAGGGTATTCATTGGATCTTCTTTTTTAGGAGAAGGGTTATTTATTTATTTTCCCATGATGAATGAGGCAGACTCTAGCTTTCTTGACATTATGTGAAGTTTTTCTTAGTAGGTGTTAGGTTGTTGTAACTATGTAGCAACCCAGAGTATGGCACTATTTTCTGAAAGATCTCTATATTTTTGCTCCCTTCTTAACCCAAAATACCTGAATAACAGAACAGGGAAATCTGTTGCCTTCCAGAAACTGTGTCTCAGCCAGCTTGGCCTGGCCTGGCCTCTTCTGCTTGAGCTTAAGGGATCCTACATGGTGTAGCTAGACAGCAGTGTTTCCAAAGCACCTGCGATATCGGTGCTCCTTACTCTGGACAGTGAGGGTGGCAGCTGGGTGGTCTCTCAGTGGTGGAACATTGGGGTCTCCATGCAGCAGGAACAGCAGTCAACTACTTTGGGCAGGATTGTGCTTTGGGCCACACTGAAACTGCAGCCCCTCAACCTGGGAAGCAGTGATTCTGTTGCTGGCCAGGGTGTGAGTTTGCCTGGGCTGAGCCACAGCCTGTAGCAGATGCCTGGGAAGTGTTGTCTGGAAGACACTCCCAGGCCGGCCATGTCCCACAGACCTCAGCATCTTGCAGTAGAGCAATGGTAAGGTCCTCGATGATCCTGCATGTCTTGCAAGAAGTGCCTCTTCCATTTTTTTAAAATTATCAGATCTTTTAAAATATTTTCTTTGAAATATATTGTACCTCTTTAATTTTTCTTATGTATGTGTACTTATGTAGTGGAGGGCGGGGAGTATGTTTTGAATTAGCCAACTAGACTCATTTGGGGTGATCCCACTTCATTTGGCAACATCCAAAGCATCTTAGGAGCCAGTAGACCACATATCAGCCTTCTTCTCTCCACCAAGCCTGATGAGGGTGTTGGTTTTGCTCATGTGAATGTCAAAGAGCTTCTTCACACCTCGTTTAATCTGGCATTTGTTGGCCTTGACATCTACAATGAACATAGGTGTTGATATCTTTGATCTTCTTCCATGTAGAAGGTCTGGGTGGTGGTGGTGAGTTTAATACTGCCTTAGGGTTCTTCGCTTGTTTCTCTAGGTGGCCCCAGAAAGTGGTGACGTTTTTTGAATGTGTCTGTGGCCAGTTTTGCTTTTGGCTTCAGTTTGGGGTGGGGCAGAGGCTTCTTTCCCCATTTCTCCCATCTCCACACAAACAAAATCCCTCTTAATTTTTTTACAGAAAATAAAGTTTTTCTCATTATCACCTTGTTTTCTAAAACAAGTTTTCTTTTCAAATTGTTATTTCATCTCTCCTTTTTTTTTTTTTATAAATACTGCATGTCTCCCTCCTTTGCCTTCTCCTCCTCTGGTTCCTCAGCTCACCCTCCCTTTCTTTTGGCCCAAGTCCTATTCTGAATTTTCTCTCTGCTACTTTTTATGAATGGATAAAGTTCTTATCCATAAGTAGTTGGGGTGATTCTTTTGGACTGTCCTCCCGGGTCATTTGGCTGTTTTGCATTCTTCCACTCAGTCTTCACTCTGGAAATCTAGTTAATGAAGAGCTGTACTCTTCTGTTCAGAGCCCTGGTGACATAGTGTATAACACATCTGGCTGTTAATGAAAAGATCAGCAATTGTGACAGTCCCCTCAGGAAAGCTGATGAGGGAGTTGGTACCAATTCAATAACAACAGTGGAGGGAGCTCTGGTGGCTTAGTGGCAAGAAGCTGTACTGCAATTCTGAGGGCGACGGGTTTGAATCCACCTGACACTGCGCTGGAGAAGAAGGGGCAATTTTCCTGTGCCAGTCAGATCCAATTTGAGACACAGCAAGAAAAAACAAAGCAAAAAAATGACAGCAGGAGTTTTCTTGTTTTCTAGGATTTTTATTGTTCAGCTTCTGGTGTTGGAAGGTCTTTTGGCAGCAAATGGAATTTCCATCTTCCCTCCATGCACTGTCCCCAACTCTGTTGACTCCATTTCTTCTCTATTTGGAGGGCTGCTCCCTCGTGCATAGCTCATTACCTCCGTGTGAGATTGTAGAACTCAGGAGTGTAAAAGGTAAAGCTAGGAGAAATATTTATCAGTCTGCTTCTGTAAAGATTTACAGTCCTTTAAACACTATGGGACAATCTCACTCTGTCCTATAGAGCTTCTGTGAGTTGAAACTGACTTGACAATAAATGCTTCCTTCACAAAATTTATGCTTGTTCTTTTCACTCTTCTCATATGGGGCTTAAAGCCCCAGGAACAGCCATGTCTTGTAAGTGAAAGCCAGTTGGAGGAGCTCTTACTAGGGGGTGTGTTTGAGTCCTGGTAGTTGCGCTCTAAGACCACGTCCATCTCAGCACCTACTCCCTCAGGTCCAGCACATCCTTCTACTTTCAGTATAGACTATTAGATCCCACGGGTCATGATGGAACCATGAGCAATGAGTCCAAACCTGGAAGTGTTGGGCCTAGAAAATCTCAGCTAATGGAAGTCACACATAGAAACAGAAGATGCCCAGGCAGTTGTACCTGAAAGACAATCAAAACAGAGCTCTTTTAGAGGCCAAGAGTCCATGGAGGAAGCAGGGCAGGGACCTGGGCCAGGATTCCAAGAGTTTGAGATTGTTGCTAGATCAGAGCCCAGGGAACTTCTGTGAGTTGAGAATGAAGCAAGGGTCAGCTCATAATCACCAGCTCAGGCACTTCATTTGCCTCTTTTGCTTGACCATCACTTTTAGTTAACCTTTTAGCTCTGGTAGCCTAGAGGAGAAGGAGTTCCACTGCCAACTCAAAGACAGGTGGCTCAGATCCATTAACTGCTCCATGGTAGAAAGATGGGAAATCTCCTTTTGTGCGATTTACAGCCTCTGAAAACCAACCTGGAGGGTCAACTATGAGTCCGTTGCTACTGGGTGGCAATGAGCAAAGCAAAAATAAAGTGTAACTCATTATGGCATTCAACTTAGAGGACCTGATGAGAATGAAATGAGATTATCTTTGTCAAGCACATAGTATAAGGCCTAAAAATAAGGCGAAAACCAGTTGCCAAGGAATCGCTTCCAGCTCACGGTGTCCCCACCTACTGCTTTTGCGTCAGAGCCGAAAACTGCTGTGTTGGGTTTTCAGTGGCTCATCTTTTGGAAGCAATTGCCAAGGTTTTCTTCTGAGATTCCTGTTACTGTGTTGACATGTACAATCTTTTGTGTGGCTTTATTAATGGCATCCCCTGGGATGCTGCACAAGGAGTTGTTGTTAGTTGCTCCTAAGCTGATTCTGACTCATGGTAACGTCATGTCAGCATGGCTGAGCTCCACCGTTTTCGGGGTGCTTTTGTGTAGGTTTAACTGCCAGCCTTTTTTTTCTTAATTCTTTGCCCCATCCAGGAATCCCTGGTCCCAGTGAATGATCATTAAACAGCATTGATGGTTACAAAGGAAAAAGCAAAGAAAGTTTGCTGTACAGGGATTTGCTGCTTCAGTCTCATGACAGATCTAGTTGGTGAAAGCTGAGAGGCGACAGCTGGAGGATAAGTGTGGAAAGTAAGGGACACTTCTTCCTATCTATTTTCTAGAAATTCATCCTACAGCACTCGAGCCCCTTTCACACCTGGATAGGACTCACCAATAGTGGCGGATCCTGGACGTGGGTGGACGGTACCAACTATGAGAAGGGCTACCTGTAAGTGATGGCCGTGGGTATCTGCTCTGTTCTATCACTATTCTGTCCCCTGGGGATCAAATTCCTCAACCTTCCTTTAGCTTCCAGTGCTACTATTACAGAAATACCATGTGTGGGTGGCTTGAACAAGCAGACATTTTTCTCACAATTTAGGAAGCTGTGGCTCTGAAGTCAGAGCTTCAGCTCCAGGGAATGCCTTTCCCTCTGTTGGCGGGGATAGGAAGCCAGACTAATTGTCTCTTTAGCTCTGCTTCCTGGGTTGTTGGAGGTCTCCATGGGTCTTGGTGTCTCCTTAACCCACCATTCCTCTATTTGCTGTTCAGTCTTTTGCTTGTAACCTCTGTGTCAAGAGAGCCCTAAACTTTTAAAAAAACCTTTCTCAAAAGAGATTGACTGGAGATACACTTTACATAAACAATCATAAAAAAAAGTTTTAAAAAAGATCCCCTACACAAATTTTAGCTCATTAACATAACAAAGGCAACACATTTTCAAGTGGGATTATGACTTTAGGCATGGAAGCATAGAAGTTAGGATTGATAACATATATTTTGGGGGACACAATTTCATCTGGAACTCCAAGGCTACAGCTGCTCCCCACCCTAGCCTTCCCAAACTGTACTTTTAAAGGATGGGAGTGGGTGTAGTCAGGAATGACAAGGGAGTCAGAAGTGAGCTCCATATTTTCTTTCTAGGAACTGGGCTTTCAGTCAGCCAGATGACTGGAAGGGGCACGAGATGGGAGGAAGTGAAGACTGTGTTGAAATCCGGTCAGATGGCAGGTGGAATGATGACTTCTGCGAGCAGGTGCACCGTTGGGTGTGTGAGACCAACAGGAACCACACCGTCGGGGCTTGAACCTGCACCCCACACCTTACCCTACACTGTGCCCTTGACTCTCCCTCAATCATCCTTCAGGGCAATGGGGAGTAGCTGAGGGATGATGTGGGGAGAGTCAAGAGTCATAGATCCTGGGGAGGCTAAGCCTCCTCTCTCCACAATTCGTTGCAATTACGAAAATGTTCAGCTTCAGCAACAGAGTTTAGAAAGAAGAACTGAATCTTGAAAGTCTGTGTGGCCTGGTTATTTGGAACTGGAAGATGCAGCTGCAGAAAAGAGGGGAGGAGTGGGTCTTGAGAGGTGGGTTCAGACAGTAAGTGCCCTGGCATGGGCAAGGGCATGAATGGGAAGGGGCAGGCTGGGCAGGCCCGAGGATTCCTGAGGAAAGTGGCTGTTCCTCAGGAGAATCTCCACCAGAATAGGCGGCAGGAAGCACCTGGCTCCCTCTCTGCCTGGGCACTGCAGATGGGGCTGCTGGGAAGCCACACGTGCTTGTTAAGAGGAGACAGTTCTCACTAATGTAAGGCAGCCACCTTCTCCTGTGTTCAGCCTTTTGTTTGACCCAAAACACAAGTGTTTGTTGTTGTTATTATGTGCTGTCGAGTCGTTTGCGACTCATAGCGACCCTATGTACTACAGCCCTAAACCGTACTCTATCCTGTGCCAATCTCATTGCCTCTGACACACCCATCCCGATTACCCCAGTCACTGAATCAATCCACCTCATAGAGGGTCTTCCCCTCCTGCGCTGTCCCTCTACTCTACCCAGCATGATGTCCCTCTCTAAAGACCTGTCTCTCCTTACAACATGTCCAAAGTATGTCAGACGAAGTCCCAGAATCTTTGCCTCCAAGTAGCAGCCTGGTTTAACCCTCTCTAGGATGAATCTGTTTGTTTTCTTGGCAGTCCATGGTACATTCAATACTCTTCTCCAGCACCACAGCTCAAAGGCATCAATTCTCCTTCTATCCTCCCTAGTCATTGTCCAGCTCTCTGATGCATAACAAGTGATTGCAAAAACCATGGCCTGTATCAGGCGCACCTTAGTCTCCAGAGAGACACCACTGCTCTTGAGTACTTTAGAGAGGTCCCTAACCACAGATTTTCAACATACAAAAATCAGTTGGATTTCTCTACAGTGACAAAGAGAATACAGAGGTGGAGCTAAGAAAAGCAATACCCGTCACAATAGCTAATCACAAGATTAAATATTTGGGAGTAAATATAACTAGAAGCACAAAAGATCTATTAAAAGAAAATTACAAAACATTATTACAAGGAACAAAAAAATCCTAGAGAAGTGGAAGAATATTCCCTGCTCATGGATAGGATGTCTTAATGTTGTGAAAATGGCAATACTACCAAAGGCAATATACATGTTGAATGCAATCCCAATACAAATACCAATTTCATTCTTCAATGAGATGGAAAAGGCAATCTCCAGCTTCATTTGGAATGGAAAGAAGCCACGAATAAGCAAAGCACTCCTTAAAAATAGAAAAACGGTAGGAGGCATCTCACTCCCTGACTTAAAATCCTACTACACTGCCGTGGTAGTCAAGCCAGCATGGTACTGGTACAATGACAGACACATAGATCAATGGAATAGAATTGAGAACCCGGAAATCAGCCCATCTATTTATGGGCAATTGATTTTTGACAAAGAGATGAAATCAGTTAGGTGGGGAAGTGACAGACTTTTTAACAAATGGTGTTGGCAATACGTTTTTTGATTTCCTGGCTACTGGTGCCAAGAGTGTTGACCGTGGAGCCGAGCAAACTGAAGCTGTGAACAATCTCAATCTCTTCACCATCCATCCTGATGCTGCCAATTGGTCCAGTGGTGAGAATTTTTGTCTTTTTGACATTGAGTCTCAGTCCATATTGAAGGCTGCAGTCCTTGACCCTCTGCAGTAAGTGCATGAGGTCCTCCTCAGTTTCAGCGAGACATAGGCTATCTCCCACAATTTCCATACTGGCTAAACTCCAAACCCACTCTAAATCTGACCTTAAAAAAATCTTTAAGAAATCAAAATTTTTATTGAAAATATAAACACATTTGCCATTGTTAAGGGGGCTCGTCCTCATGAGGACCTTACATCTAACAGAACAAAGAGAACACAGTCCTGCGCCATCCTCATTGTTGTTGTTGTTGTGGACCATCGAGTTGGAATCAACTTAGAGCTGATCCTCCAATGGGTTTTCAGAGACAATCTCATGGGGGGAGATGGCCTATCTTTCTCCAGCAGGAGAAGTTGGTGGATTTGAACTGCATGCCTGTGGGTTGGCAGTGAAAATCCTTACCTACCACTAAACCACCAGAGCTCCTTTCATTAGGAGAAGACATTTCATGTCACACACACACACACACACACCCTGGAAGTCTTTCCTTCACTGCTCCCACTTCTCCCCAGAATATATTACTTCATGGATATCTTGTCAGAATCTGTCTTGTGTAGATGCATTATCTGCAATGCAATATGTGCAAATATAATACTATAATGTAATATTGTTGTTATGTATGATTGGGTCAGAACTGACCTACAGCTAACCCTCCAGAGGTTTTCAGAAACTGTACATCACAAAGGAGTAGATTGCCCATCTTTTTACCTTTAAGAAGAGGGTAGATTTGAACTGTTTATTTTTGAATTGAGAACACAGCTTCTTACACACTGTGCCACCAGATCTCCCCTATATCTTGTTATTAGGTGCTAACAAGCCAACTCTAACCCATAACAATCTTATGAAGAGTAGATCTGTACCCATTATTATGGTCATAGTGTCTGTCCATCTCATTGGGGGTCTATATTCATACTTCTGCAATCTATATTGAAGACTTTCTATATTGAAGGTATCTATATTGAAGGTAGTCCTTGACCTTCTGCTTCTGCAGCAAACACTTTAAGTCCTCCTCAGTTTCAGCAAACAAAATCATGTCATCTTCATAATGCAGATGGTTGATGAGTCTTCCTCCAATTCTGATGCCACATACACTATAGCTTCCTGAGTGATCTGTTCCGCATATAGATTGAAAAGGCATAGAGAAAAGACACATCCCTGACACACTCCTTTCTTGATTTTGAATCATACAGTGTTTCCTTGCTCTGTTCTGATGACTGCTTCCTGGTCTACGTAAGTCTAGGTTTAGCATGAGCACAATCAAGTGTTCTGGGTTTCTCATTCTTCTCAATGTTAGCTGCAATTTATTAGGATCTACACAGTCAAATGCCTTTGCATAGTCAATAAAACACAAATAGACATTCATCTGGAACTTTGTTTTCAGCCAAGATCCATCTGAGATTGGCAATGATATCCCTAGTGTCACAACCTTTTCTTATCTCGCTTATATTTCTGACAATTCTCTGTCAATGTACCTTTCCGGTTGTTTTTGGATAATCTTCAAGATTTTGCTTATGTGTAGCATTAGTGACATTATTCGATAATATCCATACTCTGTTGGATCCCTTTTTGGGGGAATGGGAATAAATATGGATCTCTTCCAATCAGTTGGCCAGGTAGCTGTCCTCTGATTCCTTAGCACAATCTGGGAACACATACAGCACTGCAACCTTTTGTTGAAATATTTCAGTTGGTATTCAATTCCTGGGTCTTATTTATTGTCCCTTCCTTCAGAGCAGCTTGAATTTCCTCCTTTATCATGATTGCTTCTTGATCATGTGATATTTCATAAAATTCTCCTGTGTCAGACAGTTCTTTTTGGTACAGTGACTATGTGTATTTCATCCTCATAGCATCTTTAAGTATTGCAACTTGAGGTTTGAATTTGTCCTCAACATCAAGAAAACAAAGAATCTCACCTTTGGTAGAACCAGGATAGAGAAGAGATCAAAGTTGTTAACAATTTCATCTTGCTTGGTTGGGTCCACAATCAACATCATTGACACCAACAGTCAGGAAATCAAAAGAAAAGTTGCTTTGGGAAAGGATACTGCCAGGGACCTCTCCAGAGTGCTTAAAAGCAATGGTGTCAGTCTAGAAACTAAGATGCACCTGATCCAAGCCATGGTTTTTCTCAATTGCTTGTTAAGTATCTTAAAGCTGGACAATGACTAAGGATGGAAGAAGAATTGATGCCTTTGAGCTGTGGTGCTGGAGAAGAGTATTGGACTGCAGTGAGAACAAACAAGTCTGTCCTGTAGAGCATAAAACAAGGTTGCTCCTTAGAGGCAAGGATTTTGAAGCTCTGTCTCACATACTTTGGGCACGTTTCCAGGAGAGGAATCACTCCTTGGAGAAGGACATCATGCTTGGAAGGATAGAGGAACAGCACAGGAGAGGAAGACCCTTGATGAGATGGATCAACACAATAACTATGGCAATGATGCATCAGAGACATAGAGATTGGCTCAATATAAGACAAGGCTCAGAGTTACTGTTCATAGGATCACTATGAGTCATAGACAACTCAAAGATACACAACAATAGCAACATGCAATACTTTACATATATATAAATTCCATCAAACTTCCAAGTCTGTGAATCTTAACGGGAGCAGACTGACCATCTTTCTCCTGTGAAGTTGCATGTGGATTCAACCCACCAACCTTTGGTTAGCAAGCCTCTGTACCACTAGGACAATGTCATGTGGATATTATTCTAAACAATGTCATCCACTGACAATGAATTTAATAGGTGTAGAGAATTCTACACTGTGGATGTAATATAAGGTACTTAAGCATTCCTTTTGGTATATATGTAGTTGACCTTTTTGTTCATTGCTGCAAACAACATATAATAACATTTCAAGCAAATTTTGTGAGCTTTTGCTATGTCAAGACTTTCCAGTTTTCAGTTGCAAAATTTTCTAGGACAGCTCCTTCAAATATATTTGACTGGCATTAAATTTTAAAAAGTTACGAAACCAGTGATACCAGCAATTTTTTATAGGGCAAGGAGCAATCACTTGACTGGCTCCCTTCAGCTGATGGTTTATAAATGGCCAGCCTTTCAGCTCTTTCCCATATTTTTTTCTCTTTTTTAAAGTAAAAAGTAAAGAT